TGCACCAGGAGTGTACCCAGCACTGGCATACTAAGGGGCATCAGGTAGGTCCTGGTGAAGGGTCAGGGCCAGGCCCTCTGATGAGCCTGATGAGGGAGGGGAGCAGCCCAGGAGCTGGAACCAACCTGTGTGCTCATGGGCCACCTTGCAGGCCTGGTGGTTCCTGCGGCCTTCTGAGGTCAAGCCGTAGATGATGTCATTCTGGTGGAAACCATTCCTCACTCGGCAAAAAAACAGGTTCTTTAGGCTGTCGATGGCCTGGAGGTAGGGCTGGGAGCTCCTGAAGGGAGGAGGTAGAAGACACTGGAGAGAAGCGCCCTCACCTGGAGGTGGGCGGGGCTCTGCAGGGGGTCTCCTCAGCCAATGGGGCCAGTGACAAAGACACATGTCATTTCTGTGTCCAGCTTTTTCACCCTGGACCTCACATGTAGAAGGAGCTTCTCCCTGTGCTGGGTCCTGGGCTGAGCTGGAGTTTCCCCTGCTCTGTCCCAAGCATCAGGGTCTCATTTTGTGCCCACTGGACCCCCGTAGCCTGAACTGCCTGCCTGGCAGCGGAGGCCACACCAGTCAGTGAGAAAAAGGCCACATTGGAGGATTCACACTGACCTGTCCGACTGCTCGCTGCCCTGGTGGCTGAAGGCGCACTTCATGAGGGAGTCCAGGGTCATCAAGGAGACGGGCTTGAAGACCTCAAGTGGGTTCTGGTCACTGAGCTGTTGTTCCCATTTGTCCTGGGGGGCAGGAGACATGGACCCTCCACACGGCTCAGAGGCCTCTGCTGGGCTGGGCTCTATCTCTCTCTAAATACTCATCGTTTCAAGATTTTTTTTTAACAAATTATGAATATAAAGTGATATTTTCATTTAATGGTATTTTTAAAAATTATTTATTTATGCCTACAGAACTTGGGTACAGGCCAGAGCTTCATGGGGGTGAGCAAGAGGTGAGAGTATTCACCAGACACAGAGTGGGGAACAGAACAGATAGAAAGACTACAATACACTGCTGAGGGGAGCAGTGGGTGGGTCAGGAGCGGTTTGCCCCGCCATGTGGGTCTCCTCCCTGGCAAGGGGTTCCAACTCGCACTGCGACCATTTGACAGTGCTGCGCTTTAACCCACTGAGCCACCTGGGAGGGCCCAATGTAATGGTATTTTCTGAGAAATGTTTATTTATAAGTGAACACATTCACTCCAATTTTCTGACCTTGTTTTGAATTTTACAACCAGCAATGATAATCATCATTTTCTACAGATAGAAACATAGGTCCTCAGGTCATCGGTGAATCTGGCCTGAGAGCTGAAGTTGACCTGAAAGACTGCAGAGCTCAAAAGAAATAAGCCAGGGCAAGGGCCAGCTGAGGGCCAGCCCCGGCTCCTGAGGCGGGACATGGGGCTGCAGTTCCTCTAGTCGTGAAATGTCCTTTCAGCAGAGGCAGATGAGGACTCCAGGCCCCAG